TGACCCCAAAATAGGAAACATTGTTTTGGTTTAATGAGTTATAATTATATTTCTAAAATTCATTTATTCATTATTCTGCTTTTATTTTATTTGTCAATAATTTAAAAATGTTAAAAATACACCTATACGGCTAAAACGGTGCCACCTGGATGCCTCAACTTGCCACTTGTTAAAAAAGTTAACGTCGTTAACCTCATTTAACGAAAATGCTATTATTGAATCAAATTGACCAAATTAGAGACCTAATTGATCACTTCCAAAATTGGAGGACCCAATTGAAACGAGCCCGCAAATATAGGGACCTCCAAACCTATTAAACCTAATTAAAAAAGCATTCAACCTTAAATTGGTGAATTTATTTCCTCCTGTAGCATTAATACATATATTGAACTAAATATCATACTAACTATCAGAATATTAGACAAGTGACCAAGTTATGTTCTAAAGCCTTGGCTAACTCATGTTCTAAAGCCTTGGCTAACTATATCCAAAACAACAATACAAGTCTTTAGGTGGTCACAAAGTTCAAAGCCATTGATATTAAAGAGGTTATCAAATTTAAGGATGAGATAACTAAATCCTCAAGAAGTTCATAATTAAAATGGAAATCAAGCAAACAAACAGTTCTAGCAAGTCCAAAAGTAAAAGGGAAGAGAAATACAAGGTGTAATGAATATCAAGCTGCTAATTTTCCCATGGAAGTAGCACAAGCTGAACTTGTAAATGTTTCCAAGCTACCTATAGTATTAAATTGATTGAATTTTTTTCTAATCAAATATTGCCCCAACATCATATTCTAACAAAAATAAATGAAGGGTAAATGAGGAATGTGGTGGTGTAGGGAGAAGTCCTATTTCTTCACGCATGGGGTAGCCTCCTTCTCTCTCTCCATCTCAATATTGTGACCATCCCTACGAAACCAGATAAGTTCTACTGCAATATAAGCACATAACAGATGCAATATAATGAAGACTTGTTTTATAGGTTCACTCAAGATGGTCTAAGTTCACTTCCCCTTTAAGAGAACCTAAAAGGGTTCAACTATAATAAATTATATTACACAAGTATTTTCAACATTACTTATGACTCAAACTGTAACACTCCTAATGAAATGTCACGTGTAAAAATAATAATGTGCAAATTATATAAAAATATTCTTGTCAATTTTATTTATCCAACAATATGACTTTAAACAAGTTAAACAATACACCCAAGATGTTATCCATTGCTTTACATATTTATTGTTCACCCAATGATTATCATTTGTAGTCCCTCCATCATGTTATCCAGTAGCAGTTATAATAGTGTAAAAAGTGTAACTTGGATTGGCGCTTAAGATATATGAAGTTAAGACCAAAAGGGATTCTAATGGTGATATGGAGAGGTATAAAGTTTGTCTTGGGGTGAAAGATTATATTCAAAAGGAAGGGTGACAGGCTGTCGTTGAAGCTATCAAATTAATACTACTTTTCTAGGTAACTTCAGTATTGTCAAGTAGTATTCAATAAAGTAGATAGGGTTAAAGTAACCCTGAGTCGTCTCCCAACGAACACGGAATTGCTTTCGAATATCTGATTCTTATGAATGCAATGCTTATGAATAAAAGTAATGGTTTAAGAATGTTTAAAGAACAAATAAGAAACTTAAAAACAGTTACGATGAAATAGGCTAATTCCACTGCTTTTCCAAGATAGATTCATCATCGGTTATTCACGGATAATTGTTCAATTGATTATTGTTTAAGTTTCAAATTAATTAAAGTACATTCTTAATTAATTTGAGGGCGATCATGCATTTAACCAAAGTAAATTCTCAATCAAATGCAAAACTTTTCTAGATTATTCACAATAAATTCAACCAAAGTACATTCTCAATCAAATTTTATTGTGTTTAATCATGTCTATTCTTAAATCTCTTAATCAAATTAAAAGCTAATCAATCAAAGTAAATTCTCAATTGATTATAGTTGAAATTATTACTAATCAACCAAAGTACATTCTCAATTGATAGTAAAAACCATTTAATCATATGAAAGTTCCTAAATTAAATCAAAGTAAATTCTCAATTAAACCTAGAAACCCTAGAACTCATATAATCAATATGCATGTAGATTCAAACACATTATGATGCAAAAATCTTTGCTTTTAACAAGATAGAGAGATGAAAGACATAGAGAGAACAACTTAAATCAATAACCAAAGTAAACAATTGCATTAACTGAACGTAACCTCATAATCCGTCATGGAATTACAGCAGAATAGCCCTAGATGCTTAGCTCTCCATGAATGGAGTTGAATACAAGATGAAAGAAAAGTGAAAGGAGTATGAGAGAATGAATTAAGTGAAGTCCTTGGGTCTCTTTATATAGAGCTTGATTGGGCTTGGACTATAAGTATTCAGTTGATAGAATCTTTTATCTTATATCTTCCAAATAACTAAAAGATTTAGATAATTATAACATTATTTTGAAGATATTTTCTGTTGATATTCCCAAATTAAATTAATTCAACAACTGAATTTTATCTTTTAGCTTTTCTGAATTTCCAAAATTGCACAAATACCCTGAAATTTCTTTTATCTTCATTTTAGCCCCAGCTGAATTTCCTAAAATTGCAACTGAACCCCTTAGTTGACCATAATCAATTCTGTTTGACCAGTTTTTCGCAGTCAATGGGAGACTGACATGTGTCATCCCCTTTCCCACCCAAAATTAGGGTTTCAGATTGGGGAAAGGGAGCTCCTGTGCCTCTTCCTGCATCGTTGTTCGAGCTCGCCTTCTGTGAATCTGGTTTTTCTGGGTTTTCCTCCTTCCAAGTGCAAGTTACTAGAAGTGGCGGAGTCCGGAATTATGCGGCGGTGATTGAGGCGGTGCGAAGAAGATGGAACTCGCGAGAAGTTCACGAATTGCGTTTGAGATGCGCGATTGGGTTCTGAGAAGGTGGCGCACTCGTGGTTCATGGTGGTGACGGCGAGACCATGGTGAAGGTGAGACCGTGGCGGTGGCATAGTGGTACTGTAGTGGCAAGGCGCGAGTGGCGTGGAGCGCGACGGTTGCTGTGCGACGACGCTATTTCGCAAGGAAGAATTGGGTTTTGCTGTGTGGTTTTTCTGAGTGTAGGTGATGCGCGAGAAGCGTGGTCTGATGATGGTGATGTGCGTTGAAGGTTGCGATCTGCGGCGCTGCGCTTCATGGTCTGGCGGTGCGGCATGGTGGTTGGGCAACGGCGAGGAAGAAGAGACGCTCTCTGTCGCGATGAAGGAGGAGGAGTGCGCGGCGACTTCACGGCGGCATGGAGATGGTGGCGCGATTTGGTTCCGAGAAGGGAGAAGATGAACGGAGGTTGTGGCGTGGTGGTGACGTTGGGCTTCCGGTGAGAAAGGAGGGAGAAGAAGTTGGCCGGCGATGAGGATGGTACGGCGGAAGCGAAACGGCGGCTTACGGCATTGGCGGCTAGGGTTTCTGTGGAGAAGGTGGAAGATGATGCTCATGGTTTAGGGCTGATGTGGCGGCATGTGGTTGGCTAGATCTGTGTGGGGAGGATTTTGACACGTGGCATGATCTGGTGGAGTCTAACTTAGGATGGGTATGGGTAGGTAAATTTAGGAGGTGTATTTAGAATATGGTTACTGTTTGGCTTAGTATTGGGCTTGTTTAAGAGAAGAGGGGTGTATGTAGGGAAATTGGGAGGTGCAAGGGTAAAAGTTGCCTGTTTGGTCCATCTATACATTATTTTCCAAATAAAATCTGATTTTGGGCCTTGAATTGCCATTTGGACCAATAGAACTTATAATTTCACCTGCACAAATAAACGTAAGAACATCCAAGAATATTTTATGCGCTAAAACTCACTTTTTACGTCTCTTTAATTCCCAAACCCAACAATTCCAATCATCACAAATTCACTTAAAATCAATCATTTAAGCACAATTATCCTATCAAAAATTTGAATTTTAAAGCATAAATGTGGACATAAATATGCACTCATCACAAAAATTTGAATTTTAAGATATATGAAGTTAAGACCAAAAGGGATTCTAACGGTGATATGGAGAGGTATAAAGTTTGTCTTGGGGTGAAAGATTATATTCAAAAGGAAGGGCTTTGTATATGTTGATGACATACTTAAAGCTTTTAGCGTGAAGGATGGTAAATAAAGAGATTCTTCAGTTGTTAAGGGAGACGAGTTCAGTCTCAATCAATGCCCAAAAGAAAATCTAAAAATTCAAGAATTTCATAAGATTCCTTATTTGAAAAACCTAGAATACCCTAATTTTAAACAAAAGCCCTCACTCACTTTCCCCTCTTGCAAGGGTGGAATTTAAAAATAGAAATTAGGAGGTATTATTTAAAAATAGAAAGGAAAATATTTTTTTAACAATTTTTTTTTGACAACTTTTTTACAACGTCTGTGTGATAGCTTGTGATTGGTCTATTTCAAATATATGGACCAATAAGATAATGACACAGTCTATTTTCAAAAAAGTTGTTAAAAAAAGTTGTTACCATGTCATATCATGATACAATTAGAAAATAAAACCATGAAATGATATGCCACATTGAATGCCACCTCCAGTAAATAGTTGTAAAAGTTTATTAGTCAACCAAACTATTATTTTCCTATCTCTTACGAATCATTTTAATAACAAAATTTTAAAAAGTATTTAATAACGATTAATGACCTATTAATGAGCGCAATCAACAGCAATTGAAAATCATGATTTTGAGCAATTTTTTTATAGGAAAGAAGGCAATTATGAGAAAAAAAGAATGAAGCGTTTTTACATTGATCTAGATACAGGAATGAGAAGAATCACCGAATCATGTAGCAATGAAAGAAAACACAAACGAAAAAACATAAGATAATTAAACAGAGGAACTCAACAGCTACCAAAGCCGAAATAAATCAAATATTTTCTCTTAATCATAATTAAAAGGAAAAAGTTTTTGTAATTAAGCCAAAGCCACGGCAAGGAAGGTCCCAACAAGAGCGGTGGCAGCAATGTACGCCTTGCTTATGGAGAATGCTGCGGAAGGAGGCTCAGAAGCTGGTTGCTCTGGAGCTGCGCCTGATGGGCCTGGTGCAGGAGGGGATGAGATGTTTGGGCTTGGGACCTGTGCAGGAGGAGAAGAAGTTGGTGGAGGAGTTGAAGGAGATGGCGTTGGTGTTGGTGTTGGTGTGGGTGGTGCTGGTGCTGGTGCAGGTACAGCCGCAGGAGGAGGCGTGTTCGCGGTAGGTGATGGGGCAGGTGCTGACGTGGGTGGTAATGGGGTTGCTGATGGTGGTTGGGTGGGTGCAGGTCCAGGGGCTTGTGCTAAGCATGCGGTGGCCAAAAGCCCAAACACGACATAGACTTTAACAGCGGAATAAGCCATCCTATGTTTATAAGCACCACACCGAGAGTTGTTGTTGATTATGTTTTGTAGGAGTGACCTAATAATAACATGTATTTATAGAGAGAACAAATGTTGTTGTTTGTGTTGTATATTGGCTTGGACGGTGTGGGACGTGTATTTTAAGTTATGGGAAGAATAATGTTGTTGCATACAGAGAAGAAATAAGAAAAACAGACGGAAAATAAGAAATTAATGCATGATTTGGTAATAAAAGATATAGAATAATAGGTCAGAGGTTGTTGTGAAGTACATGTGTCGGTTGGAGGTCGAGGGAGGTATCGCTGTCTGTGTGTGGCGGTTTTCCAGCCTACTTCCAACTACCGTTTCCCAGTTCCCAGACTGTCTTTACGCGTTGCTAACCTTTCTGCTCTCAAATTTCCACAACTGTTTTATTACAATTTTTCAACATAAACCTCTCAAGTTCCAATCATTGATTGATTCGTATGGTTTACGGTTTTTAAATTGTCATCACTTCTCATGGATCGGGTCAAACTCCCAATCCTCTCCTTCTCAATCAAACATTTCCAATTGTAATTGCCACACAATTTCAAATTCTTATTTGCCCAACACAAAATACTTTTTTTTCTTTATTTCTCACCATTTATAATTATTTTCTAAAATTTTTTGGAAAATTTTTTTTAGTTCCATGATATGTAAGAAATTGATATAGATTTTAACTGCTCTTATTATATATTTATAATAATTAATAAGAAAAATATTTTTCGTACAAAAACAAAATAACACGTTTCCGTTGTTCTGTTTTTGGTCCAATTATTTTGAATAAATAAAATATTCTTAAATAAAATATTCTTAAGTACACTAAATCAAGTATATTCTTAATAAAAAAGTATGTAGTGTATTGCATGTTTGTGATGTGTAACTGGGATGACAACGAGTCGGGTCGGACACAGATAGTATGATACCTCAATCCAATCTGTATGTAAAAAATTGTATCCTTACCCATCCCGCAACCCGTCAGATATCTGTATAAAAAAATCTCCGGATTTTTTCCAACCTGCGGATACTCGTTTCAACTCGTAAATTTTTTTAACAAATAATATTTTATGATTTTTTAAAAATAAATAAATTAAATTGAAAAAAAAAACATAATTTTCTAAAACAAAATTGGGCCAATGTTCAAATCATTTATTTTATGAAAACGGGCAAAAAGTCTAAATCACCTTTTTTATTATTAATTTTTTTCTTGAAAATAGGCCAAGCCCAAACCCTTCTTTAAGGTTTATTCCTTAAGTTTAGAGTAGTGGTCCTTTTCCTCCCCATATGGTGCGGTACGAAAGCAGGGGAAGGATGCCACGTGGCAGCCTTCATTGTCATCCAAAAAATTAGGGTTCCAAAATGCAGAGAGTTTGCGCCGCGAATTGAACCACGACAAGATGCTTCGCGGCGACTGCATGAAAATTTTCCCCGCGTTGGACGTTCTCTCGTGATGATAGGGTTTTACATCTTCTCTTCTGCAGCGGCGCTCTCATGGTGGCTCCTTCAAAGGAGGTGGCGGTGGCACAAGTTGCATTTTTGGTTCCCTAGAGCCGCGGTTAAGTTGCAATTTTGTTTTGGAATCTCTGTTTGGATTCTTCTTGCAGGTTGTGCAAGAGAAAGATGACGAACTTGCGAGATTTACGCGACAAAGATGACTGGTTGGCGCTGCTTGTGACCTCAATTTAGGGTTTGAAAATGGTAGACGATGAGATCTGTGGAGAACGACTAGAGGAAACCCTAGGATTAAACTTCATTTTTTTTCTCTCCTTCTGTGACGACAATGTGAGTGAAATGTAGGAGAAAAAATTAAGATTTAGGGTTTGACGGTAGAGACAGGATACAACAACTACTTAGAAAATAATTTAAAGGATGAAGGATAAAATTGTAATTTCATTTTTCAGACGGATAGTAGGTACCCGTGGGTACAAATAATGTGATACTCGAACCCAATCCTTTAACAAGCGGGTATTAAGATACCCGCTACCCACGAGTACTAAATACCGATTGCTGATTTTATTCGCGGATACCCGCGAGTACGGGTTTTTATGCCATCTCTACATGCAACAAAATGATTGAGTGAAGAACTATCTAGACTGGAATGAGTTCTCTCTATTGTTAAATTTTAACAAAACAAAGTCTTCCAATTTAAAACAATAGTTTTTCATGTTCATTGTCAATGTAAAAATTTACTCAATAAATTAATTAGAAACTATTTAATTATAATTTTAATATAATGATTGTATTATTTAATCTTAATATAATTATTTATAAGTAGTATTAAATAATTACTTAATTTAATATAAAAATATATATCATCCAAAATATAACATTAAACTATATAATTGTCATCGATTTAATATAATAGATTAGTTAGAGAAAGGAAGATTTACTATCATCCAAAATAACCATAAATTTAAAAATTTATATACAATATAGTTAAATCAAAACTATAAACAAAGTGATAATCTCAACCACAAAACAAAAAAAAAAGTTATTACGAATAAAGCTACTACTATATGTGAGCATTGTCGGAACAATCGGTACCGTTATAGAGTCGCGCAGCGGAATAAAATATAGATAGCGGAAAGCGTGTAACGATCGATCACAACACAGTTAAAATATGTAGCTAAATAGTTTAGGGATCAATAAAATCAGACGCTTTTTTCCGGTTCGAATCAAAGATCTCTCTAACGTCCAGTCATTCTTACTATAATAGTGATTAACCTTTTTCACTAAATATGTTTCAGATTACAATCAGATAATCAAAAATAAGACAAGAATATAAACACCTCCTCGACAAAAACTGAAGAACGCTTCTCAGCCAACCTTGAAGATAACGCGCTCGCGACCTTTGACACACAAAACGGGCGAGCTTCTTCTTTCACAATACTAGGCAAGAGCACTCTATCACTTTGCGACTTTCCTCAGGACAAATGTATTCTCAAAAGGCCTAGTCCTTTTCACTCACAGGAGCTTCCTTAGGCATCAAAGCTCTACTACTCTCATTGAAAAGTTTTTCAGAAAGCTTGAAGACCTCATTTTATCAGCCATTTCCGTGCAAGTCACAATCTAAACAAACATCTCTCCACT